CAAATACCATGGGATTATGGATGGAAGGTAGACCAGAGGAGGAGGATGAAGGCAGGTGGCATTGGATGGGGGCTGGGAGATGGATGATGAGGTGAGTGAGCCAGTGTAAGTGAAATATTTGCCCGAGGTAAATAAGGCAATTGTAAATCTAACAGGTGTCTGTGTCTTACTATTTGTGATAACAGGCTAAATAATACCACTGTGATAATTATAGGGCTAATAATAAATACTACATCGCCCAACAGGCATTTTTTGTTTACTATAGCAGAAGGGCATCAAAATAAAGTCTGTGCCACGTGTGCTGGTCACCAAGTCCTGATGGTGACAGATGTGGGTCCTTCCTGGTCTTCATGAGCACAGCAGACACTCTGCCCTGCTCAGCGCAGAGCTCGGTCACTGTGTCTCCTCACACCTCACGGCTGGGAAGGTAGTGACACGCTGACTTGTGTTCTGCTGTGTGCTCCCCTGGCCTTCTCCTGTGTGCGTGCATGTGAAGGTTGAGGGGTGAGAACGTGAGTTCCCGGGGCTGGGGTGATGGCTCTGCTGGGGGAATGCTTGCCTTGCCAGGACCTGCGGTCACCGCCAGAACCCACAGAACAAAGCCACCTGTGGTGGCACACACCTGCCATCTCAGCCCTGGGGGTGGAGACGAATCGCCGGCCAGCCCTGCTGAACAGGCACAGTCTAGCCGAGGGAGAGACCCCGCCTCAAAGCCAGGAGGACCGATTCCCCCACAGTGGGCCACCTGGTCCCTGCACAGGGACGGATCTGGCTCAGGGCTGTGCTGTGTCCCCTTGAGATAACAGCCCAGCACAGACTGCAGAGCTCAGCCACAGCTTTGGACCTCACACTTGTGGAAGCTGGAGGGTCAAGAGGCTTGACACCCCAGGTTGACCTCTGACTCCCACAGGTGTGTGCCCAGAACACTCACCCTGTCACACTACAACCTAACACCCACTTGCCCTAATCTCTTCTTCAGAGGCCCTGCCTTCACGCACAGCCACGCTGGGCTTCAGGGCCTCAACCTGTGGATTAGACAGGAGAGCCAGCACATTCAGCCCCAAACAGCAAACCCCAGCCCAGAGCCCACAGATGCTCAGGCTCTTCTGTCCTTACGGGAACCTAAAGTATCCAACAGCACAGCCGTTACAAGTTCTCCACATCCACGGATGCTGTGGAGCTGGACACGTGTGGGTCGGAGCCGAATCTCCGTCGCTCACTGACCCATGACTTTAAAGCCTCCTCCATCCTGCTACAAAACAGAACACTTACTGCCACAGTCAGTGAGGAAGGAAGGAGTCGGGTAGATGGAGAGTGCCTCGCTGTCTTCTTGCCTGTTTCCCTTCTTCACGGCCCAGGGTCAGCATCTCCGATGGCCTCGGTTTCCAGTCTCTTTCCGTGCTCAGAAGCATGGCGGGGTCTCCGCCACAGAGGACAGGCTGGAGTTCAGGAATCCACACGAGGGTGTGGGTGGGCAGAGCCGGTGGACAGGATGGTGGTGGTCAGGGATACAGAAGGTGTGGGCCTGGCCGTGAGTCCTTCAGGCCACTGTCCACCCCTGCAGGCGCATCCCGAGTGTCACTGAAAGAGTAAGTGAAACAAAGCTGCTCAGATGTGTCTGGGGAGATACGTCTCCCTTGCAGCAGGCAGATGCAGAGGAAGCTTTCTTCCAAGCCCCGCATTTTTCTTGGGGTTTTGGTAGCCTGGTCCAAGCTGGTGCCTTCGTCTGGGGATTGGTCTTCGGGCTCTGTCTTTCCTGGGAATTTCGGGGGGAGGAAGAGCTGGCCTGGGCCTGTGCAGCTCACTGTCTTCGTCCCGGGGGAACAGAAGGAGAGAAACTTTGGCTGTTAAGATATGGACACGGGAAATACTTCCCACTTGCAGGAAGCAGCGCTCCTCTGGGACGTGCCTACCTTGTACCTTAAAGTTGACAGACAGTAAGGATCTGTGAACCATTGGCCCCAAAATTAGTTACCTGAGACAAATTCCGAGAAATACCTGCACGTGCTCCCAGCAGCGGATTCCAGAGCTCACCGCTGTGCTCCGTGGTCACGATTATTCCTGCTCTCCTGCAGCCCCGTGCTGCCAGCCTGGGGTGACACGTCAGAGGCCTGCTGTTCACCTGCCTCGACACTGCCGGGTCCGTGTCACGCATAAGTGTCCTGTGCTGTTTTGTCACACTCAGAGTTCCCTAAGTGCAAATGCGGTGCTTTGACCCAGAATGCCGGTGCGTCTCGCTGATGCCCTGGGTGACTGGCGTGCTCTTAGGACGTGACACAACCCTGTGAACAGGACAGCTTCTACGCGGGGGTGTGCCTGGTCAGTGCAGGGTAGAAACGATGCAGTCCCGTGTCTGCGGTGTGGGCGTGTGTGGGCGTGTCAGGGGTTGGAGAGACCCTCCGTCCTGCTCAGAAAAAGCGTGTTGAGAGAACACCCCACTCCTCGGGTTTGCCACTCACTATTCGAGAATATTTTTTATCTAGAGTGGTAGGAAGTACTCGGAGTGGACGGCGTGGACACTGGGAAGACGGCTCAGTTAGCTGGTGCGTGTTACACGCCTGGGACCTGGGGAGACGGCGTGGTGGCTACAGCCTGGCCATGAGCGTGTACGGACCAGAGCTCAGGCCCCAGAACCCACGTAAAGTTGGGTGGACGTGGCAGCCTGCTCACAGTTCCGAAACAGGCAGGAAGCTGGAGAGCAAGCTGGCAGCACGGGCAAGCTCTGTGGGCGAGATGACCCCACCTCAGTGTAAGGTGGCAGGGCACACGTCACACACAGGAGAGCTCTCCCACATATCACATGCAGACATACGTGAAAAACAAAACAAGAACACTGGCATGTTGGCAGACACACTGGGGCAGCAGAGAGGCAGATCCCTGAGACTTGCTGGCCAGCCAGCTTTGCACACTCAGTGAGCTCCAGGACATTGGGAAACCCTGTCTCGGAATCCAGCTGAACTGCAGCTGAGAAATGACATCCAGCCTCCACACAGAGGCGCACACAGTGCATGCACACAATGAGGAAGTGGGGAAAGTGACACACTCAGGACTTGAGGGCAAAGTGCGGTGAAGTCATGAGGCAGCATCCCGTCCGCTGCTCTCTGAGCCAAGGCCAGTGTTCCCCAAAGTGTTCGCTGCTCTCCTCCACATGTCACACGTCTGGCGAGCATGCCGACCCGAACATGGCCGTTCACCTTCGATGTCTGTGCACCGTGTCTCTTGACTTGCTCAGCTGCAGATCGCTCAGCCAGCACAGCCCGAGCCACTCCTGGGAAAACAGTTGTAAGTCAGTGTTACTGTTTGTAGAGGGTGTCACGACGGCTGAGCACGGAGCGAGTCGTTTGTTTGTGCTCACACTGCACTGGTGAAAGGTGCGAGGTCACAGAGCTCTCTAGCCCTCGAGCGGCCGGATCAAAGGAGCACTGTGGCGTAGACCTTGGGTGGTGGCTGGCGTGCCACATGAATGCGAGGGCTGGACTCCCAGCCCCGGCACCGAGCGAAACCAGCCAGACACGGCCACGCACACGCAGTGTGGCAGAGACACAGGCAGGGGGATCCCCGGGGCTTGCACGCCGGCCAGCCTCGCTGAGTCAGCGGGCTCCAGTTCAGCATGGAAACTGCAGTGAGGAGCGGGTGAAGCCGCAGCTGGAGAAGCTGCCGGGTCTCATGAACGTTCGCTCCAGGGCTCAGCACGTGCCTGTGCTGTGTGCTAAACAGACGCCATCTTTATTTCTACTGTTATCATTTCTAATATGGGCTCTTGGCAGAGATACGGACGAACACTCTGATGACCCGAAGTGCCTGCTGCGGTGGGGGCAGGGGGTGTGAGCCCCACAGGTGGGGGTGGAGGTCCCATCTATCACACTTCCGCTGGAAGTAGATTGCACTCTAAGTTCTGAGGACCCACTGTCAGTCAGGTCAGGAAGGACGGGCAGGAGGCGCACGAAGCAAGAGCCCAGGCCTGTTCTCCCCGCCCCACCCTCGGGCGCGCGCAGGGCAACACCAAGGCCTGAATAGGAGCCGTGGGTGTGGGCTCCCTGGGCTCTTCCCATTCGGACATGGGCGTGTCAGAAAAGGGAGGATAGATGTCCATTCCAGGTTGGCTTCAGATTCCCTGTGCCACCAAGGATGAGCTTCTGGCCCTCCCGCCTCTAGCTCGCAAATGCTGGGGTTCTGGCTGCGCCGTCACAGATGCACCCACCGCAGTCCAGTTTCCGCAGCACTGCGGATGGAACCCAGGCTGTGGGGCTGTGCGTGTGCTCTGCTCCCTGTCCAAGCTGCCCCTGAAACACAGGACACCGGCTCTGGCTGGCCACATCCTCACTTACTTTGATTTTTGGCCCCAACATGGGCAGCGGAACGCCTTGACCTAGGATTTGTCCACCTTGAGTTGGGATTTGTCCTGCAGAAGTGTCGCGTTTCAGAAGGCACACAAGCTTCATTCTGTTGAAACTGTTTAAATGTCTGACGGGTTAGCCAAAATACAGAGGTGTAAACATGTCTGGTGCATGTTTCCTACACCCCCTCCCCCGGCGTGACAAGGGCCCCTGGGCGGAAGTGTTTCTCCAGCCAGCCAAGCGCCCGCAAACCCTAGTGTGTCATAACCGGTGCATGGAGGCTCACAGCTGGGACCTCATCCAGAGAGGAGCAAGCAGAAGCATCAGAAGTTCAAGGTCTTCCCTAACCCCATAGCCAGTTCAGGGCCACCGAGAGGCATGGGAACCGTGTTGAGCTTCTCCCTCTTCTGGAAACAGGTTCCCCAAACTCACCTGTAGATCACCTGCTGAAGTCCAGTCCGGTTCAAGGATCTAGGACGGCCCAAGAGTTTGCTGGGCTGCCAGGGCAGAGCTGAGGGGTTCTGGAGAGCCCAAGGTGGGGTAGGAAACCTGGCACATGCCTTTCAGCTGTGGTGCCGAGCCCCTCCCTGGCCCACAAGGGGGCTGGGGATCCGACCGTGGGTTCTGCCTGAAGCCCCAGCTAACACCCCTTCTCTTCTTCAGGGGAGGAGCGCCCCCGGGAGCCCCCGGGCCCTGCAGAGGCCCAGGCGCCGGCTGGGACGGAGGCCGGCGGGAGGAGCGCCCGGCACCGCTGGACATGTTCCCGGGAGTGGCTCAGGAAGGCCTTCTGGGGCGTGGCCGTCGTGTTCTGTGTGTGCGCCTCCTGGGCCGGCTCCACGCAGCTCGCCAGGCTGACGCTCAGGACCTTCGACGCACCCTTCACCCTCACCTGGTTTGCCACCAACTGGAACTTTCTGTTCTTCCCGCTGTACTACGCGGGGCACGCGTGCAAGTCCACAGAGAAGCAGTCTGTGAAACAGAGATACAGGTAGGGGCCCCCGGACCGCCGCTCGCTCTCCGGGCTGCTTCCCAAGCACCCCGCCGCTGAACTGACCCTGCAGGCCGGGGCTGGTGGGCGGTGGAGGGACCCAGGGTGAGGGAGCGGGAAATGCACCTGCTCTGCCCGGAGGTCGGAGGTTGGCCCCTGGTCTCCACTTCACCCCTCCACCCTGGCAGCTGTTCCCATGCTCCAGGGAACAGCAGCATCTGCCGGAAGCGGCTGTGGTGGGCTGAGGTGATAGAAGCAGAACTCGCTCCAGCCAGGGGAGTGGAGCTGGGCTGAGGAAGGATGAAGGGGCAGGGGTCACGCGCTCGGGAGTGTCCTGCAGCTCACGTCCCTTAGCCTCTTTCTGGTTTTCCACACGTCCCCTCCCCCGAGTGAATGACAGCGTGTCTGACAATAGGGCAGGTGTGCAGTCAACAAGCTGCCTTACCTCCCACGGAAGCATGGCCCGCACCTCGCCATGCAGCGGCCTGAGACCGGGGGTGTGGCCCACAGGGTTCCAGTATAGCACAGCTCGAGCTGCTCTCTGTTTGCATTGGGCTGTGTCCAAGGACAGGCTCAGTCTGTCTTACCTGAAACACTCAGGAAAGGATGTTGTTAGGGCAACGCTACTGACCCTGGAAACGCAGTCCATCAGTCTCTGGGGCTGAGCAAACCCTCCTTTCCATCCCCAGCACCTCCTCCCTCCATACCCTGGCCATCTGTCACTTGCCCCTTTAACCAGCAGTCCCACGTGGCTTCTCTGCTGCTCTGAGAAAACACTGACCAAAGCAGACATGGGGAGGGTTTGGCTTACAAGTCTTTATCACACTCCATCATTGTGAAGGTCTGGGGCAGAGGCTCAAGGCAGGAACCTGGAGGCAGGCACTGTAGCAGAGGCCATGACTGGTCCTCTATGGCTTGCTTGGCCTACTCTTTACAGCACTCAGTACCGCTTGCCCACAGCCGGCAGCACACTGGGCCCTCCTACAGGCCATCTGATGGAGGCATTTTCTCAGCAGAGGGCCCCCTTCCCAGATGACTCTAGCTTGTGTCAATTTGGAAAAAGAGAGAGAGAAAATGGAAGGAAGGAAGGAAGGAAGGAAGGAAGGAAGGAAGGAGGAAGGAAGGAAGAAAGGAGGAAGGAAGGAAAGAAGGAGAAAGGAAAGAAGGAGAAAGGAAGGAAGGAGGAAGGAAGGAAGGAAGGAAAGAAGGAGGAAGGAGAAAGGAAGGAAGGAAGGAAGGGAGGGAGGGAGGGAGGGAGGGAGAAAAGAAGGAGAAAGGAAGGAAGGAGGAAGGAAGAAGGGAGGAAGGAAGAAGGAGGAAGGAGAAAGGAAGGAAGGGAGGAAAGAAGGAGAAAGGAAGGAAGGAAGGAAGAAGGGAGGAAGGAGGAAGGAAGGAAGGGAGGAAAGAAGGAGAAAGGAAGGAAGAAAGGAAGGAAGGAAGGAAGGAAGGAAGGAAGGAAGGAAGGAAGAAAGGAAGGAAGGAAGGAAGGAAGGAAGGAAGGAAGGATAAAGGGAGGAAGGAAGAAGGAGGAAGGAAGAAGGGAAGAAGGAGGAAGGAGAAAGGAAGGAGGGAGGGAGGGTGGGTGAGCACAGCTGCCAACCCCGCTGCCCACCACCTGCTTCAGATCTCGGGCCTGTCAGAATCACTCTTAGAACTTCCACCACATGAGGAAGAGCATCACTGGGGCCAGGGAGAAAAGTTGGAGAAAGATGGACCTAGATGGAACTAGACTTTCTTTGAGGAATCTGCCATTTTATCCTCAGAGTTACAGATGGACAACTCTAAGAATCAGCGTGTGACACAGGACACCAATTCAGGAGGAAGCGGCTCCAATGCGGCTTGCACAGAGCCAGCCTATCTGTCCCCTCAGGGTCTGGGGACAAGAACCCAGAGCCTGTGGAGTCTTCTGTGCTGACTTAAGGCAACAGCTGCTGGGCCAGTGTAAATGGCTAGGGAGGTACTTAATGCAGCAAGTGCTTCTGAACAGCAGCCAAGAGAGGAAGCAAATAGATTTAGGAACTGTGAGAGGGCCCGAGAAATCCCCAAAGGCCAGAGGAAATAATGGCCTGAGTCATGGAGAAAAGCAGACATCCAGGAAAGGGTGCGTTTCTTAGCTAAGTGGTCCTGAGTGTATCATCCTGTAATTAGGAGACAAGACAAATGTTCCCATCAGCCATGCACACAGCGAGAGTCCCAGAACCACAAAGGTGGCATAGTGCTGTCCTAAACACAGGCCACCTCAGGGACAAGGTTGGCTGCCGACGCTTGGAGGGCAGCTTACCACAACCACAGAGAAGCAGGTGCATGGCACACTGGGCAAGTCTGGTTAACGGTGCTTGCTGCTCTCTCAGAGGACTGGAGTTTGGTTCCCAGAGCCCACTCTGGGCAACTCAGCTTCCTGTTGATGCCAGTTCCAGTCAATCCAGAGCCCACTTCTGACCTCCGTGGGCAGCAGCGCGCACAAACAGATACAAGCACATACACATAAGTAAAAACAATAGTAAAAACGTGAAAGTCGCGGACAGAGTTCGCCCACTGCCAGGGCGTATGAGAACAGTGGGAGAAGGGGGTAACTCCACGACAAACCAGATCACCCAGTCTCTATCTCAAGACGGACTACCCCTGCTTCACAACAGTCTTTCCCTGTCACGGGTGGTAGGAGTTCTGAGGTAGACAGGGAGGCTCGTTTGGCAGCCAGGGACATTCACAGGACCCAGGGAAGCCGTGAACACCACTGGGGGAGGGGGAGGTGGTCTCCATAGCCAGAAGGAAGCTTGGAATCCCAGAGCTCACTGAGACACAGCTCAGGCAGGGAGGATGCCCCAAGTGGAGAAAAACCGAAATCACATCTCTCATCTTCGTGCTTTAATTGATGCCAGAGGGAGCCTTTGTAGACACCAAGACGGGTCTCTCAGCAGAGAGCGTTTGAAGATAGCCGAGAGAACAGCGGAGACAAGTAACCTGGGGAAAGAGGCTGGAGAGCAGAGCAGATTCTCTGGGGCTTTCAGGGAACAGAAGCTTCTCACTCCTGAGCTGGGGGAGGGGAGGCACCAAACAGAAGCCGGTGTGGCACCTGCGCTGAGCTAAGTCACCGGGGGGTCCTCGTGACAGGACGTCCAGGTCAGCAGGGCTGGGTAAACGGAAAGTGGCTGTCCTGAGCCACGTTTGGGAAGCCAGCTGCTGCCAGCCTGTGGCTGCATGGTGACCACCAAAGCCCGGGGTGCCCTTCTCAACTGCCAGCTTCCAAGCTGCTCCTGACCCAGGGCTGGGGACATGGCTCAGCCAGTCACTGGAGTTTGGATCCATAACAGATGTGGATTCCCCCCCGCCCCCGTCACCTCGAAGTTCCAGAGGCAGAGATAGGGATCCCTGGAGCACGTGGGCTAGCTAGACTAGAGGAATCGCAGGCTCTGCACTCGGTGAGACTCCTCCTGAGAAAATGAGGTGATAGGATACGGAGGGAGACACCCCAGTGTGGGACTCTGGTCTGCACACACACACACACACACACACACACACACACACACACACACACTCGTGGCCCCGTTTAAATGCTATAGATCTGACAAATGGAGGATCCAAGGGTCAGCTAAAGCTGGCCATGTAGACGATAGTCCAGTCTCTGAGCTTTGCTTCCGAGCTGGCAAGGGAAGGCTCTGTCGATGTGTTACCACACTCACAGTGAGGCTGTTTACAAGTGGACACTCTGACACGGCGGTGCCCTGGTGTGTGTAACTCCCTGAGTGGAACTGAGGAAGAGTGTTCCCTGGGGTCTCGCTGTGTTTCCACCGAGTGAGGTCGCCCGTGCCTGTGCCTTGTGGGAGAGCTGAGCCCGGAGCACCACGGGAGTGCTCACTTAGGAGAATGAGCTCATGGCACCGCAGGCTCTGTAGATCATGTTAGAGCGCTGCTCAGTGTCTCACGCCCAGGTGTCCAAGTCAGGCACGAGGAGCAGACTAGTCACAGCCCACCAGCTGGGGATGTCCTCCCTTGTCGAGTGTCATCCCAGCTGGAATGCAGTGAGCCCTTTCCACACCCAGGCGATGAGCACCGAACCAGCTGGGAGGCCCCAGCAGGGAGCCACAGAATTCAGGGAAGACTCTAGCCAGGGGCGGCTGGGAGGGGCGGGACGCCGTAATCCCAGACAGCTGAGCACAGGAGGTGCAGACACTGCCGAGGAGGGGGTGCTGCCGGGACCCGGGACCCCGGAGCATGATGGTCACTCACACCCAGGAGTGCCAGGGTCAGCACAGTCCAAGCTGGAACAGACGGAGCCTTCGCTGCCTTGGCAGTGGGCTGTCCAGAAACGAAAGCCATGCTGACCGGCTTTCCAAAGCAAACCGAGTGGCAGCCGAGGCCCTCCTCAGCCTTTGTAGTTCTAGGCTTCCTCGTGCCGCCTAGGCCTCCTCCTCAGACACGGAGCAGCACTCAGAGGCAAGGGCCATTTGGCTCCTTGCACTTTTAGTGTACACGGGCTGAGTTTGTGTGTGCCTGCCTGTACAGGTGGCCACGGGAATGGTGTCAGCCGTGCAGGGGCAAATTTCAGTGTTCGTAACTAGAGGTTAGTTGGCTTGGTCTGCAAACGGTTCCCAGGTAAAGGTGACATACTGGGAAGCAGTGATTGAGGAACCTTGTCGTCACAGAGCCAGAAGGCTTCGGAGTGAGCCAGAGGGGTGCGTGAGCGAAGCCAAGAGGCCAAGGGCCACAGGGACATATGACCTGGGGCGTGGGGCATGGCTAGGAGGAAATGAGCTGGACAGACAGATGGTTTCTGGATGCTGAAGGATGTTCTAGGCAGATGGGGAGCCCAGAGCCCAGGGAGCAGAGGAGGTGTGTGGGTGAGCGCAGATCCTGGGGAGACCCTGCTCAGTGTGGGAGAGGCTCTGAGCTGGCCCGACTCCCAGAGCCACTGTAGGGACAGCCAGGCTGCAGCTTGGGAACCGCTCCTGGGGAATGTGGAGGAGCTGGGTGCAGGCCAGGTTAGCTCAGCAAGACCCTCC